TTTTTCTATATTCAAACGCCATGAATGCGCGTTTGAATCGAGCAAACGTTGGGGACAAATTTTGTCCCCATCATTTGCTCGCTGAACATATACGGCACAGCCTCCTAGTCGCTTCTGACCAGTTGCTACTACAGTGTATGTGCAGGTATCGAACCATGTCCCCATGCATAATAGGGCTACGTTTTGCAGCGGTGCGCAGGACTCGTCCTGTCCGGTTCTTTTGGTACAGTTCCGTCGCGTCACGTTAAATCACCGGACTGCTTGCAACTCAAAAACTGCTTTCACCTTGCAGTTCTAAAATTTCACACGGCAATGCGTCTGCCCACATGAAATCCCACATGGGTATTCGTAGCGTGTGAAATGCTTCCGTGTACTTGCCCCTCAGTTGCCATTTTGCTCACTGGCCTCCAAGATGGGGTTGCTGCTTTTGCTGGTGCGAGAAGGGTTTACGTGATGACACTCAAACGACCTGCCGATGCTCTCTAGATTGCACTGGCCGTCGACGCTGCCACAGGCCTCTGTGACAACGGCGCCATCAACGAATACTTTGCCACCGCGACGCGGGACGGTTGTCTTGGGAACAGTCCGTACTGCATTGTCGACAAGAGATGCGGGGTACGTTGGTCGTCGATTCGAGAAAAATGAGATTTATATTGTAGACAACGACGTTTTACGAGGCGAGAAACTTTACCACCTTGGCGCTGGGCAGCGACTTGCGCATTTACAGTACAAGCACAGTCAGCGGGGCTACAAAGGCTCATAAAACGGTGGCGTAGATGAGCCTGTCGATTACATTGCGAGCCTCCCGAGCCTTTTTGCGAATCTCACAATGTACGTCACCTCGTACGCCATGACACATGAGGGTTCATCGACCTGCACAGCGCGTTTGACAACACCTCCATGCACGGCATTGGCGACCTCTCAACCTCGACCAACGTCAAGGCATTGTGGGAATGATGAATATATTGTCTGTGCTGACGAGATGCGCTAGGAGCATCTACAACTACAATATGGCGATCAATACCTCCAACACCTCGTGGCCGCCCAAACTTGAAACTCTGTACGTGGTGACAATAATGTCGTCGTCGCAAACCTGTGTTGTTGGTATCAGGGAGCTTCGGGAGGCCAAATTCTCGACACTTCCCAACTTGGCGTCCATGCCGCAGCTTCTCTATCTGTACGTAGAACTATCTATCTATCCATCGTGGATACCACAAGTGTCGGTACGTAGGGACTTGCGAAACAATCTCTTTACGCGCCTCGAGAACCTCGATTTTCGAACCTTGCGACGCGCGTACAAACCGAAATCGTCGCGCGCAAGCAGACAATATTGTGTTGCTTTCACTAGGAACTTTGACGACAATCCCATCACGACAATATCCAACGTCTCGCTGAGCAGTCCCGAGCATTTGACCACATTATTGTACGTTGTTCACACACATGCAAGACGTCACCAGTGCAAATGTAGCGGTCTCTCGGGCTGCAAGATTACGACGTTTCTCGTCGACCCAGACACATACACCGTGCTTCTCAATGAAAACAAGACGGTGGAGCTGCACAACAACGCCTTGGCGCCAACAATCGACGTCACGGGGACCTGCAAGGCGCCAAATAGCATCAAACCCATCATGCAGGGAGCCTACTCGGTGTGCGTGACGCCAGGTAGGCGATATTGTGCTTCGCGATTGTGCGCTGTAAGCATCGTAGAGTCGATGCTGCCGCCACCACCGCCACCGACGACGGCACCGCCACCGACGACCGTTTCGCCGTCGTTGGCCGCGACAGGCGCGGATACGTCGTCCTCGCGCCTCGGCAGCGGGGAAATTGCTGGTATCGTCGTCGGTCTTGTCACTGTCGTCGCCTCCCTGGTCCTTTTCCTGGCTCGACGGCAGCGTCGACTGCAGCTGTGTGTAGTCCGCACTGGAAAAACTTGTGTCAACTTTGGCGGTGTTTTGTAGGTTACTGCTGGAGCGCAACGCGCAGTACCTCGACGTACACGCTGCATTGGACGCCGCGGCATTCAATACCTGTGCTTATCGTAGGCGCTGCAGATGCTGCGGCTCGACGAAGGGTCCCTTGTCAAGCTTCAGTTTGTCGCTGAGGGCGCGTTTGGTCAAGTGTCGAGAGGCACGTACAAAGGTTCGAGGCGCTTTGCACGCGCGTACCAATGCTATTTGGCTAGGAGAGCCTGTCGCGATCAAGAGCCTATTGCCAGGAAAGCACTCACAAGCCGACGTGGCCACCTTTGTTGCTGAGATTCAACTCGCTTCCATGTACCTCTCTCCGTGTACTAGTGCACAAACCCCACGGACTTGTCATACTGTAGGATGGAGAGCCCGTACATTGTCAAGCTACTGGGTGCGAGCTGGCGGACACCATCCGAGCTTGAGATGGTGCTCGAATGGATGGACAAGGGCGACCTCCGCGGCCTCTTGCAGGCCACCGCTCCGTCGGCACCGGACGACGCCGCCCACACCTTTTACTGGGACGAAAAAGCGGTGTGTATGTTGTCGATTGCCGAAGGGCTTGTCTACATGCACACAATGAACATCATCCACCGCGACCTCAAGTCAAGAAACATCCTCCTCGACTCGGTCAAGGTAGGGCGACCCGAAGAATGCATGTGTCGAGGGTTGGGGTAATTTAGGGTACCAAACTGACGGACTTTGGCGTCTCGAAAGAGATGACGACCGAGACCATGACGATCGGCGTCGGCACGTACCGGTGGATGGTACGACCGACTCATCGACGCGAAACGCTCACGCAGGAATGCGTAGGCGCCCGAGGTCCTTCAAGAATGCTACTACTCGACGTCGGCCGACATTTACTCTTTCGGGATGGTGCTCTCGGAGCTCAGCACCCACGACATACCGTACGCCGACGTTCGCTCCGAGAATGGTACAGTAATATCTTCTTACACAACTCAAATAACTATGTTTTTGCACAGGCCACCCGCTTGTGGACACGGCCATCATGTCGCGCGTGATCCAAGGGACCATCTCGCCATCGTTTGTGGCGTCAACACCAATGTGGGTGATCACACTGGCGCAATCCTGCCTCGCGTATGCGCCCGAGCACCGCCCGACAGCCATTGAGATCGCACACATTATTGAACGCCAAAGAAAGGTGTGCTAGGACATTTGTAAACCAAATCCGAGACGCAGCTCACTCCCAACGACCAAGTGCTGGTGCCAACTCCCACGCATTCAGGCGTAGCGCTACGTATGCAAAGTCTTTGTCATGAAGATAACGCGGAACACGTCATATAAATCCGAGAACTGCCGTTCGTCGCGACAAGACGGACGCAATGAATCATTGTGCGGACCTGAGTGGACAGAAATCGCGAGCAAAAGTAAACGCTGCTACGATCGAGGCGCGAACCATGGTCGCTCGTCCGCAACATCAGAGAGGTCGAGAAGTGTTATGACGAAATTGACGACCGAACGAAAGCGACGACCGCACGTCCTCCGCGTCGACTGCGAAGATCCAAGAAGAGAGTTTGCGATGCGACTGCACGTGGTTGCCAGGGCTCAAATGGCCACGAGCCATTGGGTACAGGAAGCGGCCATGAGCACGGGTGTGAAATGTGTGTTGACAAATAAGAGTATGGGTACACAACCTTGCACATATTATGTGCAAGGTTGTGTACTTTATATATGCACCGTCGCGTTTTGCGCCAATCTACGTTCGTAGAACGTGACGCCTCGAGACCCAACACCAGCCTCGAAATAGAAGTTTTGCATTATCGATG